TCTAACCACTGAGCTACATCCCTAACTTCATTTTCTTCTTTCTTTTTTTTTTTCATTTTTTCCCCCAGAATTGGGATTTGAACATAGAGCCTTTGCATTGAGCTATATCCCCAGCCTTATTATTTTTTATTTTGAGACAGGGTCTTGCTAAGTGCCTAAATTGCCCAGGCTAGGCTCAAACTTGAAATCCTCCTGCCTCACGTTCCCAGAGTCCTGGGGTTACAGGTACTGCCCCCTCTTCTTCTTTTAATTTTATTCTTAAACAGATTCTGGATAAATTGCCCAGGTTGGCCTCAAACTTGTAACCCTCCTGCCTCAGCCTCCTGAGTAGCTACTATTACAGGTGTGCACCACCACTATCAGCTAAAAAATACTGAATCTTTTTTTCTCCTCCCTGGAGGTTTCGTTTTCACAGAGCAACTTCCTCTACCGGCCCGAGGTAGTCTCTCATCCGGCTTCACCAAGAGAAGAGACTGTGTTTAAGTCCAGCTCTAACTTGAAGTCTTCCCAGGAAAGCTGACAAACCGGCCAGGGTTGGGCCACAGACTCACCTGAGGCCTGATCCACTGGGCAGGTGGTGGGGTGCGATGACTGGTCTACACAGACCAGCTGCCCACTTGGGGGTCCAGCAACTACGAGAACGTGCAGACTCCTCCCTGGAGTGTCTCTCAGGGTGTTGTGGGGAGAGGAGGCGAGAGGAGGAGAGCATGCAACCTCCCAGACAGGCTGCCCCGGCTCCACGCACCGTGCGGTCACCCAACTTCTGCCAATTCCCCCTCTCCCTCCTCCAACTCCAAGTCCTCACACCCCACCCCCAGTTCCCAGGGACCCTCTTCAAGTTCAGAGACTCTGAGGCCATGCTGCTGCCGTTCCTGGGGTTTCTGAGCTTTACAGCAGGCACCGATGATGCAGGCCACGGGAATCCTGCTTGTCAGTCACCTGGGCGGCCCGGGGGCAGGTGCTCCTCTCTTCATGAATTCTTTCACCTGCAGTTTGCCTGCGCATTGTTCACTTCCCTTCTCACATCTGTCGCCTGGAGCAGCACCTGCTGTCTGCTGCCCTTTTCCTCCTCTGATATTGGACAATGCCGCCACCGTTCAGGGCGAGTGGGGCCTCTGGCAGAGCTGTCCCTCTGTCCGTTTGTTTGTGCACCGTCACAGCTCAAACAGCATCAGCCCTGCCATGGCCCTTGGCAAAATCCTTTTACTCTATAGGGGGAGAAGAAGGGGCAAAACCATCATCTCCTACTTGTTTCACTAGCACGGTAGCGGCCTGGCATGGCTTAGGTCATGGTGTTTTGTGGTTTATAACCCAGCGATGCTTCCTGGAACCAGAGGAAGACACGAGGAAAAAACAGAAACAGTGGCAGCGACAGGAGGTAGGGCCCGGGGAAGGAGCGGACTCGTCATACAAGATCTCGGGACAGCACCACACAACGCCCAGGGCCCCAGGTGGGACTCCTCGTGGGTTCCCGGGAGATGTGGATGGCTCTGAGGGCTCAGCTGCCCGGGAAGCCTGCACTGTGACTCCTCACAGAAGGTCGATGGGCATCTTCCGTGCAGGGTGCACTTTTATTTTTGCTTTTATCCTTTCCTCTTTGTTCAGCCCCAGATCTCTCTGCAGAGCCCTAATCTCTTTATCACCTAGCTTTTCAAATGTCTTTGGTCCTGTGTTTGGCTTGTCTCATTCAGGTCTTTGTCCGAGGCAGGAAGGACCTGGAAGACCTTCATCGAGAGCCCTCTCTAGGGGGAGGCGGCAGCATGCGCTCAGCAGGCCGAGGTCCTTGGCTCGATGCCTCGGCTGCCAAGGACGCCTGAGAAGGACTCATAAACGTAATTCGCTTTCCTTTGTGCCTTTTCTCATCTTAGCTTCACACACTGAGCTTATGTGCCAGTTCTTGAGTTTTCCTTCTGTACATCTCTTATTGTGAAATATGGGATCTTTAGCTCTCACTATTGTACCTTACGGTCATGTAACAATTTTTACCAGTCAGGGCTCAACATTTACATGATTTATGTAACCGTTGCTCGCACAAGAGACACGTAGCGCGTTATGATTACTTTTTCTTAATTGTTGTATTTCTTGGGATTAATAACTGTCCTGTTGTTGTTGCTTGGGGAGGGTTGTTTTGTTTGTGATGTTGGGGAAAGAACCAAGGGCCTTGTGTGTTAGGCAAGCACTGTACTCTAGCCCTACCCCTGTTTTATTATTATTGTTGTTGTTGTTGTTTGATTTTCTACTAGCCAGTAATTCTGAATTGCTCAGTGCTGTACTCTGCTAGGGACAACTTTGTCCCTGTGTGAATGCGTACCTGTCATCCTGAAACTTCACCTCCACCCAGGGTGCCCTTCGCCTCGTCCCTGCAGGACCCGTGCTCTCCAGCAATCTTTCTGTGTTTCCCCCTTTTTTTGGAGGTACGCATCTTCCAGCATATCTGTTTGTTTTTGTTTGTTTTTTGAGACAGGGTCTCGCTACGTAGTTGAGACTGACCCGGAACTCACTGTGTAGCCCAGGCTGGTCTCGAACTTCTTTTTTCTTTGTTTGTTTGCTTTTGTTTATTTTTTTGAGACAGGGCTTCCAGCACATCTGAAGAATGGGTAAACAGGAATTGAGTTTTCTGAGACAATGTATGTCTGAAAGATACCTTTATTCTAGCTTCATGATTGGTTTATACTTGGGGAGCATGAGGAGCTCTAGGTCATAAACCAGTTTTTCTCCTCAAGGCCTTGGATTTTTTTTTTTTTCCTACTAGGGGCCTTCATACTTCCCTACACCTACAGCCCTTTATTTTTAATTTTTTTTAATTTTAATTTTTTTAAGGCAGAGTCTCACTAAGTCACAAACTTGCCCAAGCTGGGCTTGAACTTGTGATCCTCCCGCCCCAGCCTCCCAGATGATGAATTATAGGCGTGTGCCACTGTGCCCCTGCCTTGGCTGCTTCTGTGTCTGCCGTTCAGAAGTCTTCCCTCAAAATGAATAGAAATATTGCAAACGTAAGCCAATGTTTAAAGAGCGTTCTAGTTCCATACTTCTGAGGGTGGGTCCTGTTTTGTTCTGTCTGGATCTCCATGTATGCTGGGGTTCTGAAACCCGGGGGGCCATGTCTTTACTTGCTAGGTCCTGCACTCATGAAGCTTTATGTGCTCAAGGTCTGGGATTCTGTGTTGAATCAGTTTCTCTGTTTTCTCTTTTTTGAAAACTTGTTTAGCTGATATCATTCCTCTCTATTTAGTTGAATGTTTGGATTTGTATGTAATTTTGCATCTCATTGTTTCATCTTTCCTGATTATCAAATTTTTGTCCTTCTGCTCTACTCTCTGATACATTTCCTCAACTTTATCTTTTAATCCTTCTATTTTTTTTCTGTCATTTTATTTGTAGTATTCACAAATCTTGTTTTGCCAGGGGATGGGTACTGGAGATTGAACTTGGGACCTTGCACTTTTGAGGCAGGTGGCGAAAGCACTGAGCTAAATCTCTGACCCCCACAAGTCTTTTCTTGATCTATGAATAGTCTCTCTAAGGAGCACCCCAGTGTGTGTGTGTGTGTGTGTGTGTGTGTGTGTGTGTGTGTGTGTGTGCTGCCTAATTCTGGCTGCCAACGTGACTGACGTGACAGATGCTTATAAAATGAGTCAAGCACACGCGTCTGGGTGTGCCTGGGTGAGTCACGGGTTCTGACCTTGGGGACCACATCTAGTGCCCACCCCTTCCTCTGGCTGTTCCTCTGCGCTCTGATCCCTGGACGCCATGAGGCAAGCAGCTTTCCTGCGCCGTACCCTCTGCCATGATGTTTCTGCCTGGGAGTCAGCCTGCCATGGACTGAAACTGAATCCATGAGCCAAGACAACCCTTTCCTCCTTTAAGACGCGTGCGCCAGGTATTTTGTCTCTGCAATAAGAAAGCTGACTAATAATATGTACCTTTTCTGGTACTGACGATTGAACTTGAGCTCAGGCCCTCAAGAATGCTAAGTACACCTTCTTGCCGCTGTGCTCCATCCTGAGCTCCAAATTATCGTTATTTTTCTTTTACCTCCATGTGATAGCAGTTGCTTCCTGTCTCTCCTTGCCCTGGCTCTGTTTCTTCCCCCAAGGTTTGTCCTGGTCTGCGGTGTGGTGGGGGAGTCCTTGGTGCGTCCTGTGGCCCTCACGGTTGGTGTATGAGTGAGTGAGGCGCCTCTGCAAACTTGTCTGAGAGTATCAAGCCCAGTGAGAGGTTTGAGGACAAGTGGATGGCTCTACATCCGTTGTCCTGGGAGATATTTCTGTGACTCTATAGTTTTTCTCTGGAGCTGAACTGTTTTCTCCAAGATTACCCCTCCACATTCCTGCCTGGGACAGGGGAGAAATCAGCATTCTCACTGAACTACATGCCCGGCCCACACCCCTTTTAAATTGCTTATTTTGAAACAATCTCACTAAGTTGTCTAACTTGGGACCCGCCTGCCTCAGCCTCTCAGACTGCTGGCATGACAGGCACTGCTGTTCATCGTCCAGGTTTTTAGAACTTCATTATCCTGTTGTTAGTAAATTGCCTTGTTTTTGACACTGGTCCTAAGGCTTCGGCTTTTCCTTTCCACTCTCCCGGTCTTCATCCTCCGCCTCAGGCAAACTCTTGGTTTTTCTGTTTTCAACACCACCAAAGCCTCCCCAGCCCTGCCCAGCTTCCTGTGACCTCCTCCCAGCAGGTCTGAGCTTTCCAGAGCATTTAGCTTCCACTTACTTGTCAGGGCTTTTCTGTTTCATCAACTCTGAACGGTTGATGTTTTCTCATCCTCTTTGTCCTTGAAGGTTTAGGTCCTTTCCTCCCATTTATGGTCATTTTAATGGAGGGTTCAGAGCAAGCAAGGATAAAATTGTGTTCAGTTGATTATATGGTATTTGACTATAATTACCATGTGCCTGCTATTTTTTTAGGTTTTTTGAGACAGAGTCTCGCTCTAATTCAGGCTGGTCTTGAACTCCCTATGCAGCCCAGGCAGGCCTTGAACTCGCAAAGATACTCCTGCCTCAGCTTCCTGAACGCTGAGATTACAGATGTGTGCCACCATGCTTGGCATGTGCCTGCTTTTAAGTTCATTCTTTCAGCGTTCCGTTTTTCCTTCTTCTCTCCTTGCATTTCTGTCTTTCCTCGCTCCTTTCTTTCCCTTTTTTTCTTCCTCTCTCCGCTCTGTGTTTCTGTCCTTCAGAACGCTTTTCATTCTGCCCCACTTAAAGACCATCAGGAAGACGGGATGTTTTCGGCATTTAAAAGTTCTCTCAGTAGAAATAGCTCCTTGGAATCTGGCATTAATTTAAACACACCGCGTCTCCGCAAGAGACTCAGAAACATCAGCCACCCAGAGCGTGAGCCCCCCTAGCCTCTTCCCACTGCATTTGCTGAGAAAACTCAGGTTTTTCCAGAAGGGGAGTTTCAGCTTTCTATCTAATTCATGTCCAGTTACTTTCATTCAGAGTTTGAATTTTATCCGGAAGGCAGAGAGGAGAGAGCAAAGAGTACAGTCTTGACCAGGGAAAGGGGCCAAGGTAAAGGTGGGACCAAATATTAATTAGTGGATGAATTCATCAAACAGACAAGTATTGAGTGCCTGCTATATTCCGGGTAGAAGGGACACAAAATGCCAGCTGGGAGGTGTGTGCCTGAGACCCCATCAGCTTTGTATCATGGACGGGTTTGAGGCCAGAATGGGCAACTTAGCAAGAAAAGACAAAGGACATCCAGGATGCAGAGGGGAAGGCAAACAGGTAAACGAAAGCACCACAAGTTGACAAGCGCATCTCATGCTGCCCTGTAACCTGTGTCTGCTCTGTGGCAGGCACTGTTCTGGGCTCTCTGACTGGTTCTTTACAGGGTTACTGTGCACGAGGCGGTCGCACACCACTCTACGCAGACTGAGTCCCGTGAGGAGAGAACGCTCGTTGGTGATCCCTTGGAACCCGGTCGCTCCTCTGGACTCTCCGTGCCACTATCTGCTGTCTGTCCCCGGTGACCCTGCCTGAAGCCGGATTTGTCCTTGAACACTGCCCCGCTACGCCCCACTTCCTCCCCATGGACCCCAAAGCCGAGGGTCGGCTCCCCTGTAGGACGCGAGATGGAAGCTCTCTCCTTGCACAGTCTTCAGGTCCGTTTGGGTTGGTTTTCAGTCCCATCTGCAGCCTGGCAAGAATAAGGGGGAGGCAATGAAAACCACAGAAGTCTCTCAGACACATACTCTTTTCTCCTTTCTTTTCCTTCCCTTATTCCTGTCAGTCACATAACATTCCCCGTTTTTGAGACACTGGCTGAGGACACCAAGAACTGGGTGGTGGGGCTGGGAGGCGGGGTCTAGAGACGTTTTTTAGAAAGGAAGATTAGAGACTTCCCAGAGGATGTCCGGGGGTCATGTTGTGAGGAGGGGATGGGACACACACACACACACACACACACTCACACACCCTTCTCTGCACACAGTTTTAAAAACTCTCGTCTTTGAGCCAGGAGCTGGGCCTGGGTCTCCTGAGCGGAAGGGTGTGGGTCTCGCTTCCCTCTTTCCTGTGGTCCCCTTGTCCTGTGATGCGGCCACCAGAGGTGGCCCCCAGACTGGTGCCCAGCTGTCCGCTTCTGTGCAAAGGCCCCCTTCTTGCAAAGCCAGAGCCAGGTAAGTGGAGGCTGCAGACCCAGAGGGCTTCCTGGGGGTCTTGCTGAGGCCTGGGGAGAGGAGGTCCAGGGGGTGGGGGACCTGCTGACCTGTAGAAGGAGAGGGAGGTGGGGACAGGATGTGGACCTGAGACCTGGCTTCGCCATCACAGCCGGAGCCGATCAGAGCCAGAGCCATCCCCGGAGGAGTCCTCCCACACCACAGGGAGGCCAGAAAAAGGCCTGAGATGCAGATTATGTTTGGTTCCTGGGAGAAGACAGGAGCGTGAGAGGCAGCAGCAGGAGTCATAGGAATCGAGCGGGAGGCGGAAGCCCGGAAGGCTGGGTCGGTGTCTTTCCTCAGAAACAGCTCAGGAGAGTCAAGTGCTGTAAGGAAGATATTTTCTATTTTGTATCCATTGGGGTAGACTGTAAAGGAGACTATTTACAAATCTTATACAAAAGTTTCTAAACTCAAAGAAGTGGCTGCCCTCACCTCCTTTTTTAGCCTCTGTTTTGTCGTGGCGCCGGGAGCAGAACCCAGGGCCTTCTGTCCGTGGGGCGCATGTGCCTCTGCTGAGCACACACCCAGCTCCACGGCCTCCGGGTACTTCCCCCTCGTTTGAAATCATCGCCTTTACTGACACGTCAGCTGTGCTCAGCGGTGGACCCCAGGGTGGCGCTCCCACGGGTTGGTCCTCTTGGACTCATGCAGCCCTTGTCTGTGCCCCCGCACCCTCCCCCACCTCCAGAAATCACCACTCTCAGAGCTGCGCTGCTGGTGTTTCTGCGTCTGGCTTGCTTCGCTGCACACAGTGCCTCCCAGTTCCATCCACTTTGCTGCGAATGACACGGTTTTCTTCTTTACGGCAGAGTAATACTCCACTGTGGGGCATACCACATTTTCTTCAACTGTTTGTCTGCCGCCGGGGCCTAGGCCGACTCCGTTGCTCAACCACAGCGAACAGCTGTGTCACGAGGCACCGTCACACGGAGCTGCTGGCCCCGGAGCCTTCCCTCCTTTCGGGGTGGGTGGCATTTCTGTCGTTGGTCTGCACCTTTGCTTAGGGTAAGGAGACGGGAGCAGCACTGCGACGGGAGCAGACAGCACGTGGAAAGCATGAATGCACCTGAGAATTAAGGAAAAGCCCCCGGTCAAGCCCTTTATCCGTCTTCCGGTCTCACTTTGTCTCATCTTAAAATGAACGATGTGGATTCCGTAGGGATGCCAGATAGACGCTGGACAGCCAGGTCAGTGTGAACGTCAGTCATCCAGGTTCTAAACCACCCGAGCCCTGATCGGCGTAAATCTGCAATCTTGGCCCAGTAGGAGGCTGAGGCAGGAGAATGACAACTTGGAGCCTGGCCTGAGCAATTTAGTGACACAGGGAGACTGTCTCAAAGTAAAAAAATAAGAGGCTGGAGATGAAGCGCAGTGCAAAGGCCCTGGAGTACATCTCCAGTATCACTAAAACAAACAAACAAAAAAATCTGACATCACAGTCCTGTGCATCGAGGCAGTTGTTAAGCTACCCTCTTCCAGAGGTGTTTAAAGGGCACAGAGTTTTAAAGGAGTCAGTGTCTATCTCTGCCCATGACAGAGTAAAGGGTGGTTTTACTCTGGGTCCCCAGTTTTCCATTTACCCGTGCACCCCAGCTCACCCTCTCTATTCCGCTACAGGAAAGCCAGGCCTTGCCCTGGGTGGTAAAAGCTTCCAGAGTCCACATAATTCTTTAGAGTAGAGTTCATAGCACAGTGAGGGGGAAGCACGAGAATTCCCATGTAGCGCCCTCCCCTTCACCACCCCTTGCGTGCACAGCCTCCTTCAAGGAATCTTCATTTTCAGTAATGAGGACTGAACCCAGGGCCTTTGCACTGAGCTACATCCCCAGAACACCCCCTCCACCCTCCTTTTGGAGACAGGGTCTTGCTGAGTTGCTAAACTGCCCAGGCTGAGCTCCAACTTGTGACCCTCCTGCCTCAGCTTCTTAGAGTGCTGGATCCCACGTGTGCCCTTCCACACCTGGCTCCCTCGTGGGCGTCTCCCTGAAGGAAGAGCTCCAAGTGATATTTGTTATGTAACCACAAGAAGGTCAAAGAATTGAATGGTGTCGCTGATCACAGCCCTGAGGAAAAGCAGGCTTGGGTTCTCTGTGAAGGTCGCCCGGCCGGTGTCTTCACACAGGGTGTGGGCGACTCTGCTGTGGGCCCCTTCTGCAGCTCTGTGCCTTTGCGTTATGTCAGTTTTCCTTCTCACCAGCTCAGGACATTGTCACAACCAAGATCTCTCAGCCCCCTCACTTACTAACGTGAACAAACCTTCTCAGGGCTCAAAGTCAAAGAAGAGAAACAGGGCCAGGGATTTGGCTCAGTGGTTCTGCAGCCTGGCTGGCAAGTGCAAGGTCCCAGATTCCATCCCCAGTACAAAAAAAAAGAGAGAGAGAGAAACAGTGACAGCAGTGATGCTGAACTCTGCTCTTTGGTGCGATATTAGTTGATGGATAAGTAAACTCATGTTTAAGACATAAAGTACACACGTTTATAGTCCTTCCCTGCACATCTTATTAAGAGCCTCGTTTTCAATACTATTTTAATGTTTCATATTTAGTAATCAATAAAATATATACTTGTCCTGTCATTCATAGTTGGAATGGTGACTGAATCCCAACAACATTTTAACACTGACAGACTTATGGGCACAAGATTTTTTTAAAACTAACAAAATCAATTCACATATGCAAATCTGCTTCAGAAATATAATAGGGCAATCTATAAAAAATGTCCAAGAATAGAAAAGTTGACATTCGGAATATGATTTTTTGTGGGTGTGGTACTGGGGATTGAACCAGGGCCTTTGCAAAGAGCTACATCCCCGGCCCTTTTTACTTTTATTTTGAGACACTGTCTCACTAAATTTCTAAATTTTCTAGGCTGGGCTTGAACTTGTGATCTTCCCGCCTCAGTTTCCCATAGTGTTAACTGGGATGAATACAATTCTGTACTGGAGGTGACGTGAAAGTATAGTTTGAAGGAGTAAAGGAAACAATTTAACATTTCTGTCAGAGAACTGTGTTTTTGTTTTAAAAAATGAATGATGGTGTCAAATTCCAATGGTGCTTAGATTCTAATGGATACAGAGTGATACAACAGCTTTATTTTAAAAACATCCACGCTAACCATCTTCAGCGTGCATCCTTAGCAAACAATTAATGCTATCATAAAAACGCGCAGCTGTCAACTTGAAAATGTGTGAAGGGATACACGTGGCTCAGAATTCTTTAGGGAGTATGCGAGGAAAAGCTCCAAGGACCACCCGTTCGCACCTCTGCTTACTGGTGCGTCTACTCCTTCTGTTTGCAGACCCTTTGCTACCTTGAATGACTGAAATGGCAGGCACCGCGGTGCTCAGTTTCAGGGCATTCCTAGTCCAGGGTTCTTTGCGCCCCACCGCTCCTGCCCGTCTACTCTGTACAGAACTTAGAGGTACGTACGGGGTCACAGCTCAGTGGTTTAAATTGGAGAAACCCCAAATAAATCAGCCCCTCAACCTCACAGCTGAAGTGTTTTCAAGAATATGCAGTTAAATCTCAGTGGTCACGACATGACTCCTGGTTCGCTCAGTAACGTATCATTACAAGCTTTGTTCTAAGGGTTTTCACCGGAATGTGCAACCGTCACCTAAACGTGGCGAGGGCTGTGGGAGGCTTGAAGAGACCTAACCAAGCTGGAGGTGCAGGGACTCGGAGAGACTCCATGCCACGTGAGGTTTTGGTGGATTTGCTCCAAGGGCCAGAACTTTCTAAGGATGGTAGAAAAGTGCCTGGAATCAGCCACACGCCTGCCGGGTCACAGGGTAAGAGCACTACCTTGCGTGTCCGTATGCCAAAAATCATCTTAGCCCACCTCACCACAGTACTATGTAGTTGTCCTTAGTATTCTTTGGGAAGTGGTTCCAGGACGCACCCCCTTGCATATAAAAATATATAGATGCGCAAGTCTCTTAAATAAAATGAGGTAGTATTTGAATATAGCCTCTGCACAGCATTCTGTGTATTTCAAATCATCTCTAGACTACTCACAACACATAATACTGTACCATGTAAGTGCTATGGAAAGAGCTTTTATACTACATGGCTCAGGGCACAATAACAACCAAAAGTCCGTACGTGTTTAGTACAGACACTTTTTGTGGGGAGCCGTACTAGGGATTGAAGTCGAGGTCCTTGTGCTGAGCTGCATCCCCAGCCCTCTTTTTGTTTTTTCTTTCAAGACAGGTTCTTGCTAATCTGCTTAATTGCTATCTAGGCTCAAATTTGTGATCCTCCTGCCTCAGCCTCTCAGAGTACTGGGAATGTAGGAATGTGCCACTCTGCCTGCCTACAACTTTTTTTTTGAGAATTTTCAGTACGTAGTTCACTGAGTCCACGGGTACAAATGCAATGGACCAACTATTAGCAGCCACAGCGAGAGACATTATGCTGAATCAGCCTGTGAGGCTGATAAGTGGCAATCAATGCCTCAGTTCACTGTGGTCGAGAGGGCTCTTTCACCATGAGATTTAAAAATGCGTAGCCTGCCATTTCTAATTTGCTGAGGGCTGGGAAACTGTGCAATGGGGCCATTGGATATTCAATAAGAATCAATAAGCACTTTGGCCAGCTACTCAAGAGACCCTCCTCTCACCTTCTGAGCTCAGAGGTCTGTTCCAAGGCCTGAAGGGTAACCACAGCCTTCTACGTGTCTTTTCAAAAAGCCAGGATGTGATGCCTTCAGGTGACGAAGGGTGCATCTGGGCATCCATCCGGTTAGGGTGCCCACGTATCATTCAGTGCTCGGTGTAAGGATGCACTTGTTTTGTCGTTGCTTCGTGGCTAAGTGAAGGAACTAAAGCTGGCCTGGGCTTACTTCTCCAGCCTAATGATATACTTAATTATTTTTTGTACTGGGGGTTGAAACGGGTGGGGGGGCGCTTCACACTGCCCTATATCCCCAGCCCCGATATGTTTTATTTTGAGACGGTCTCACTTCACTGTAATATAGACATGTAATCATACAAATTATGACACCGGGAAGAAGATTCCTGGGTGAATCATCTGTCTCCAGTTACTCTCTCGGTCTCACTGTGACTGAGTTCAAGCTTCAAGTCAAGCTTTGTATATCATTTCCGGTGGCAGGAGTTTTAATGTGGATTGCCATGAAATCAGCTTTCATTGATTTATTTTTTGAATGCATTGCTGGGAGTCAAACTCAGGGCTTCGTGTGTGTGGTGAGCCAAGTGCCCTACCACTTAGTCACGCCCGGCCACACAGTATTTTGATAAATATATCCACAGATTGGCAAGTATTTTAAAATTGAACCCACAGGTGAGTTAATCCATTTGTGAAGGCAGAGGCCTCATGAACCAGGTGCTTCCTGAGGGCTCCCTTCCTCGCACCTCAGACTGCAGAGTTCTAGTGGGGACACAGAGCAGCATGGATTTCCTATAATAAAACAGGAGAAGTCCATACAGCCAAGTAACCTTTTGCCTTGTTTTTCATGGTCTAAATAGTCAGCTTGGCGTGGACTTTGGCCCACTTCACAGATGACTGAAGGCATCTCCTAGAACGAGCTGGAGGCGGTTCTTGCCTGACTTTGACTCTTCAGCCACAAGTATTTACTAGTAGCAGCCCCAAAAGTGGGCACAGCGATGATGCGGTGAGTCATGCGGCCGTCACAGGTAGGGCTAAGCGCGTTCACGGACCTGGAGCTAAAGTGCCGCTCATTCTCTCTGTGACCCAGCGGGACCCAGGTCTTCCCACTGAGTCACAGGGCCATGCTGGGGACACAGGACTCCTACTGCGCCTCACTCAAATGGATGGAACAGCGGTGCCCTCGGCACAAATCGATAGGGACAGAGCATTTGGGCAGCAGAGCTATTTCTGGGCACCGGATGCTCCTCCGTTTTGAGGTTTACATTATTGTCAGATTTAGCAGTATAGCAATGCCTCCCAAACTTCGTCACTAGGAAACAGTTCTGTCATATGTGCGCATAAAAGTGTGTGCAGATACCTCCTACTTCTATGTTACATTTGATTTTATAGGCAAACTCCCAGGTGTTCACTGAAGTTTTATCTTTCTTGATCTTACTTTATTCCCATTCTTCACTGCTCCTGTCCTTAACTCTGTAAATGGAAATTTCCGAAGTTTTTTCCACTTCCCACTTTTTCCTGCTCTCAAGGATCTGGGAATTTGAGCTAGATGCTCTGGTTTGGGGGCAGGGATCAGAGTTATGGATTCAGATAAGACAGATTGTGCCCCCCCTCCCTCTTTATTTTTTAATACCAGGGATCAAACTCTGGACTTTGCGCTTGTGAGGCAGGTGGTGGAAACTCTGAGCTAAATCGCCAGCCCTGCCTCTCTCTTTAAAACCGGAATTCTTCATCTGTAAAATGAGATGAATAATATATTATCCTTGAGAATGTAAAAAAAAGAAGTTAGGTCCTTGTAAGAAAAGTTTCAGAATAAAATGCCAGGATTTTAACCTAAAAGTGTGATACTGATTTTTAAATTTTATTTTTATTTACTTTGTTTTTGTGGTGCTGGGGACCAAACCAGGGTCTAACACTCTGTTGAGCGTGGAGCCCTAGCATTTACATGCACCCTGAAAGCATAACTCCCTAGATCCCAACAATGGTATGAGACAGTCACCTGTTACCTCTTTTCCCCGTTTTATAGAAACCCAGAGAAGGAAGTGGTCCTTGGTAATTCTGGTAATTAGGGACAGAATCGGGAGTCAAAACCAGGCAGCTTGATGCTAGAGTATAATTATACTTGCATAGTCAATGGCTATGAAGTTGCTGCTTATTTACTTTTTCTTTTCCTGTTCTGGGGATTGAACACAGGAAGCATCGAAACACATCCCCAGACTAATTTTTTTATTGTATTTTGAAGCAGAGTCTTGCTAAGTTGCCCAGGCTGGCCTTGAGCATGTGACCCTCCTGCCCCAGCCTCCAGAGTAGCTGGTATTACAGTTGTGCGTCATATCTGGCTGCTTACTCACTTTTGATTGTGTCTCTTCTTTGCCTGAAAACCTATGGCAGCTCCTGAAGCCTGAAGAAATCAATACAGATTCCCAACCTTAGCCATACAGGTCCTCCAGGGACCTTTCTTTCCCCTCCTTCCCTTCCTGTCCCGTGCTGTCCCGCCATCTCTCTGCGGACTCCACCCATCCCCACCCTCCCGCTGACCTTTCCAGGCTACCTTTCCTCCCAGCTCCTTCCGAAGGGCGTCTCCCGTACACTTTCTCAGCCGCAGCTGGTCGCTCATCTTCCTAGAGGACCTGCTCTCCTCTCCTGCCCACCTTCCATCCGTTTCTGGCTCTGATGACAGTTATTTCTGCATGTTCCCTATTCCCTCCCTACTCAGGCAGGAGCCCCTTGGAGGCAGCGACTTGATTTTTTTCACAGCATTTAAAAATTTTATTAAACATTTAAATCATTATTGTACTTCTGATAGCCAAATGACTGCCTATTTGCTACAAAAAAAAAAAGAAAAGAAAAGAAAGCAAGCAAGAAAGAAAAAACAAACAAACAAAAAAAAAACCCTAAACTACAGAATATATAATTTGGACGTGAGATCTGCCATTATATCCTCTCCTGACTAGTCCTCAGAGAGCTGTGGTTAACAATTTGGAAATGTTCCCTTCTAGACATCTAAACAATACATAAACCATTACATGCAAAGGTGTGTAAAGACAATTAAACTTACAGAAATAGCACTACACGTACAACTTTGCAGACCCTTCCTCCCCGTCTGTCTCCTTTCTCAGGACTGGGGATTGAATCCAGGCCCTTACACTGAGCTACATTTCCAGCCACCTCAACCCCTTTTAAAATCTGATGCAAGGTTTCACTAAATATCTAAATTGCCCTCAAACTTGGGATGCTTCTGCCTCAGCCTACCAGGGGTCACACCTGACTTGTAGCTGTATCTGTAAACTTAAAGTATTTAGTCTTTTCCATGTAGATCTTTCTCTCTGTCTCTGTGTCCCTTGGCACTGGGGATTGCTCTCTCTCTCCATCTCAGCACTGAGGATTGGACACTTCATGTACAATAAGCACGTGCTCTACCTGTGATGTGTAGCCCCACCCTGTCCTCATTCTTTTTAAATAGCAGCGTAGCGCTGGGTGTGGTGGTGCAAGCCTGTAATCCCAGCACTCGGGAGGCTGAGGCAGGAGGATCACTGTGAGTTCGAGACCAGCCTGGGCTACATAGTGAGTTCCAGGTCAGTCTCAACTACATAGTGAGACCCTGTCTCAAAAAACCAAAAAACAAACAAAAACCCAGCAGCATAGCATAAGACTGTATGGATGTAAGTGCTTACCTGTCCACGCCACTCAAGAGAGTTATCCCCACTTTTCACCACGGTGAACAACGCCGCAGCGAACATGTACCTCCTTGAATGTGCCTGTATCTATATAGTCACATAATTTTTCTGCAGGGTGCACCCTTCAACATGGAAATGCTACCTGAAATAGAATGGGAAGTCAAAATAATGACAAATATAAAAATACAGAAAGGAAAGTTTAGTCTTTGGTCTTTTTATATATAAAGTTCAAGGTCTGCCATTGCAGTTACCAGGGTGACTCACGTTTAGAGGGTGGCTTCAGCACGGAATACCAGGTCTGTATCTGGATTTCATCTTTTTGACTTAGTCACCTTATCACCATATAAAGGAGGAGGTAATAGTACAGTACTTGCTCTCACTGTAGCTGGAAGGCTTACAGGATATTATTCATGCAAAGCAGTCAGTACTTACTGTACCTGGAAAATAAGCAAATGGGAGGTCTGCGTGAGGAAGGGCGGTCATGGGTTCAGATGACCGTTCAGTTCATAAGCCCTAACAGAACGATGGCAGTTGGAGCAGTTTTCCTAGAAATGGGTAGTGTAGAACCATTTATACTTTGCTGTTAAAACCAATCCCAAGTACTTATAGAGTGACCAGCTAACATTAGAAGTAAGATGTGTGGCCTTGGAGTAATTAAGTTAACTGTGTAAAGTGAACTGGTTTGAACTGGGATCAAACCAATGACCTTGGCCCGTTCAGTCCTGCACTTTCCCCCGAGTAACTAACAGCCTCAGCTGCAGCCTGAAACCTTATATAACGGGATCGCTGAGGACAGAACAATACAGTTCCCTGGAGGGGACACTGGTGCACACTGGCGGTTATCAGGTGATCTAGCTTTGAAAATGGATAGAAGGCACATAAATAAATGGCCAGGGTAGAGTATAAGACTTTTTGATTAGATTTTTAGGCTCTGGGCCAGACCTTTCCACCTTGACGGACAAGTCCTTATAGCAAGATTTATCCTTGGATTCTAGAACCAACTCTGCCACTTACTAGCTCCAAAATCTGGGCAAAACGTTGAACCTCATTTTACATTGGTCCATCGAGAGGACTGGAAAAGGTGACATGAAACGCTCTTCTCTGACACCCCATTTCCCACAGATCCACATTTGCAGGCTGTTTATTGTACTGAAAAAAAAAAGATATAAAATCAAACGACTGGAAATACAGTACTTCAAAATGTGTAGATCAAGAGATAGCAAAAGTGTAAGACGCTTGAGGTAAAAAAGTCCCATGTTGTATGATTCCACTTCCACGAAATTCCAAAAATAGACAAATCCATAGGTCAGATGGAAAGCCGCGTAACCGCGTAAAGGTCACCAGGGGCTGGGAGAGGAGAGGGACCCGCACGGGTCTCCTTTAGGAGTGATGAAATAGCGCGAAACTAGATAATACGACAGTGGCACAACAGTGAACGCGCTGCATGCCACCACACATGCTTTTTGGTAAGGTTAAGATTATGACATTTGTAGTATGTGTATTTTACGGCAGAAGAAAAACGTGAAGAGAGGAGAGAGCAGTTGAACTGTGCCCCTCCCGGAGGCATGGGGAGGGTGGATCCTCGGAGGAGTCACGGGGAGTTCAGAGTCGCAGGAGTGGGTATCAGTGAGGGCAGCAGTTGTCATCTAACCGGGACAAATGTGGCTGGCCCTGGTCTCATCTCACATCCGTGCCCTCTCCTACTGGAGTCAAGCAGTGTCCGAAGTGCTTTTCTTAGGCTCACGTCCAAGCTTGGCCCTCGCGGAGAGCAGCCCCAGCCCACACGGAGGCATATGGTTCTCCTCCAGATGCTGGCACCACTGATTTCCCTCGAAGTCCGCTCTCCGCGTACCCTTTCCGGAGGCCCTAGGACTTTGGCTTCTCGCCTCGAGAGCATGCAACACAGCAGTGCTCTGAGATTCTCCTGCGACTGAGTGAGTCGGGCAGGCCCCGCAGAGCGCAGTGTTAAAGGTTTCACGGGAGCCACCCCATGAAAGCCGAGGCTCATACTGGAAACCTTGGGGTGAGAGCTGGATTTCCTGGGAGCGCTTCTCCAGCCAATGTCTGGTGGTTTCCGGTTTGAAGGCACTGTGCTCCTTTTCGCAATGCATACAACAATCTAATTTTTAAATGAAACGACGTACACAGCATCCTCACTTTGGGGAGTAACCTAAACACTGCACATGTTGATTCTCTGAGGTTTTGGGACCCCTCAGAGTGAGTCTCGGAGACCGGAGGGATCAGAGCTAACAAGTGGCAGAGCTGGGCTTCAAGTCCTGGTGGCCTCCTTCCGCCTCCTCCGGAGAAGGTGTTCTGCGCCTGAACCTCGGTGCTGGCAGAAGTCTTCAGGAAAACACGCATAATTTGGTGTGGATGTATTTGCGAGGGACTTTTTCTTCCTTGTCGAAAGTGTCCTTCACGCAGAGCAAAATGTTTGCAAAGCAAACAAGTCTTTCTTCACACCCCAGGGAGCAGCGTGGCTCGCTCTTTACTCTGGCAATAGAAATGGAAGAGGAGACGCTCACGGTTTCGTGGCAGTGAGCTGAGTCCCTGGCCTCGCCGGCTGGGGTCCTCGCCTTTCCATTTCTTCCCCCACGGCTCTGGATGAGGACCGGCCCTCCCCTCCCTCCCCCGAAATCGGGTGGTGGCGGGGCCCAGCCGAACCGCACCCGGTCCCGGTGTGGAGCCGGGGCCGTCGACGCCCTCC